AAAGTTCCATTCCAGGTGAAGTATGTGTTGGTTAAGCAATGTCTCACCAGGGGGGGTACATCAGTATGCAGTCCTTGATGAACCAGGTCTTCAATGATAGCGATGGTGTCAGGTACCGGGACTTTGGTGAACAAGGACACCACATCAAAACTGACAAGCAGGTCGTTTGGGGACAGGGAAATGTCTTTGATTGTCGATACCAGGTGAGTAGAATTTAGTACCGCAGAGGTGGTTTTTCCAGTGAAAGGTCGCAGTATATCAGCCAGAAAACGTGCCAGTTTGTAGGTGGGGGAGCTGATAGTAGAGACGATGGGACGAAGGGGTGTATCACCTAGCAACATCAGCAAAGACGAACGTTTTGAATTATCTCAATTAAAAAAGAGGGATGATATTGTCGTTCTCTCAGCCGACAAAGGCAATGCCACTGTCATCATGGACAAAACAGAATATAACAACAAAATTCAAGAACTACTCAACGATGGCAGCTATACAAAAATAAAAAGAGATCCCACCAACAGCCTGGTCACCAAAACGAACAAAATTATCTCTGATTCAACAGCATTAATTGATGAGAACAAACAGTTCTTGTTGAAACCCTCTGCTGCCAGACCACCAAGATTATATGGCCTTCCAAAGATACACAAAGAAGATACACCCCTTCGTCCCATCGTCTCTACTATCAGCTCCCCCACCTACAAACTGGCACGTTTTCTGGCTGATATACTGCGACCTTTCACTGGAAAAACCACCTCTGCGGTACTAAATTCTACTCACCTGGTATCGACAATCAAAGACATTTCCCTGTCCCCAAACGACCTGCTTGTCAGTTTTGATGTGGTGTCCTTGTTCACCAAAGTCCCGGTACCTGACACCATCGCTATCATTGAAGACCTGGTTCATCAAGGACTGCATACTGATGTACCCCCCCTGGTGAGACATTGCTTAACCAACACATACTTCACCTGGAATGGAACTTTCTACAAACAAACTGAGGGCACCCCAATGGGCTCCCCCCTATCTCCGGTTGTAGCCAACGTATTCATGGAAAAATTTGAAACTGACGCCATCCAGACTGCCACTCTACGCCCGACCTTATGGAAGAGGTACGTTGATGACACCTTTGTCATCTGGCCACATGGCCAGCCTGCTCTAGACCAATTCCGCGACCACATCAATTCCATACACCCAGCCATCAGATTTACCATGGAGGTCGAAAAAGATGGCAAACTACCCTTTCTGGATGTCTTAATTAAAAGGAGACATGATGGTTCAATGAGCCACTCTGTCTACAGGAAAGCTACCCATACAGATGCTTACTTGAAACCGGATTCCCACCACCATCCATCCCAGAAGAACTGCCTCATCAAGACTCTATACCATAGAGCCCAATGCATTTCCGACCAGGAACACATTACCAGTGAACTCAAACACGTACACCAGGCTGTCAGGGCTAATGGCTACTCCGACTACACAATCCGCAAAGCCATCACTCCAGTCATGAAGAAGGATCCTCTTGTGGAGCCACTCAAAACCATCACCTTACCCTACATTGCAGGGGTCACTAAAAAGATCTCCAAAATCCTGAATAAACACAAGATCCAGGTCCGATTCAACACAGTACACAAAATCCGTGATTTAGTTCCATCTGTAAAAGATGCTCTTCCAGACATACAGTACCCGGGCGTTTACAAACTAAAGTGCCTCTGTGGTAGTAGCTACATTGGAGAAACCAAAAGACATATCTCGGATCGCATCCGCGAACATAAAGCAGACTTGAAACACGGTAAGACGAACTCCTCTGCCGTGGCAGATCACTGTTACAATTCAGTGGGCTCACATGACATTGACTTCTCCAAGACGGAGGTTCTTTGCAAACCAACTGGCTACCATGAGAGATTCGTTCATGAGGCCATTCACATATACAAGCACAGAGACAATTTCAACCGAGAAGATGGATTCAGGCTCAGTAACCACTGGAAAGATGTGTTAAATCATTTCTGTTCTTAATTAATTGTAATTTTACGATGACCTTCAGACCGCAGCTCTTTCGCCAGCATTGCCTCTTAATACCTCTCACACCACGGTTAATGGTATGGTTTACAACATGGAGTATACTAGGGCTTCGCAGCTGTCTCTCTCCCCCTCCTCTGTTCCGACCATGGACGAACTCGTCCGTCTGAACGGGGCCCGTAGCTATCCGTGGTACGGAAATTTGAGGGTAAGAATCCACCCATTTTTTCGCCATATAGCATTGTGATATATAACGACTTATGGTTGGTAGCTTAGCTGATTGGAGAATATAGAGTTTATTGATAACATGAAGGTAATTTATATTTTAGTTTTTATTGGTTCACTATATAGTACTGTGAATAGCTCAGATTTGTAGTCATTTCTGTGACCAGTCACTAGCAAATCATCCAGTTATTTCAATGCTAAATTCGCCTAGTTATTTCAATGCTAAATTCTCCTGTTTTGATTTGTACTAAGTGCCTCGGTGAATGTGTATGCTCTGACTTCAACGTAACTATTTCTGTAGCAGTTACAAGCGAATGCCTTAATTTAGCTATTTCAATGCTAAATTCTATGCTAATTCCTTTTAACAATGGGTGCCTCTGCGGATGTGTATGCTTTAACTTTTAACATAGCTATTTCTGTGACCAGTCACAAGCTAATCATTCAGCCTTTTCAATGCTAAATTTTATGCTAATTCCTTCGTCAAGGCTCTTTGTTCCTCTCACACAGCTTAAAAGCCGTGATCTGAACGTGGCTCTCTCACTCCAGCGCTGTCCTACCAGACAGTCTCGCTCCCTTCACCTGATGAAGGCCGCTTGTGTTGTGGCCGAAACGTCGTGAGAATATTATTGTGTTATTTTATTTTATCAATTTATTATTTTATTCTCATTCTACGTGACTTTACCGAAAGAACCAAAGAAGATGAATCATTGCAGTCACGAAAACTTTAAATCGAAATTTAATGTAAATACACTTTTGATTAAGGTTGTCACGTAATAATTTATGATGCGTTTCGAATCTGTACTCAGCCTACAGCTGTCAGCTCGGTTGAAATTATGTTTAAGCCTGCGTGTTAAATGTACCATTGAGTCAAGTCTGTGCGTGTCATGCACGTATGAATGCAACATTTCTTTCGCACCGTACATAGCCAACCATGCTGGTTAGAGGCGCGGAGGTCACGTGATCCTTTTGACACAACCGAGCGGCAGCGCGTTCGCCGCTCGTTGCGGAGGTTCCACGGTTCGTTTTCAGCGGCTGCCCCGGTTAACCCTATGAGCGTATTTACCATAAAACTATTATACGTAGCCATTTGCTTCACCAGAGTGGACGTTAAAGATCCCATGACGTGCCTCGCGAGAGTTTGCCGTTGTATGCTGGTGTCATGGCTCATTGGGATTACACAGAAAACATGCGCCCCCACCCCCTTCCTGAAAGAAAATACTTGAGAGCTTCACGGCTGATCGGATTTCTCGAGTATGAATAAAGATTCTGATTCTAAAGAGTCGTGTGACACGCTGAGGCTGTATACTGGGTAAACAAGGAGGATCATGAACGAACAATAAATCTATCGGTCTAGTCGGCAGTCAAACATTGAGTCACACACGCGCTTTGTAATCGTTGATGTGAGGGGCTGGCAATTTCTCCCCCCAATGTTATTAGCTCAGACAAATCGTGAACTCATTAACTCTGTTACTTACACAAAGAGAGTGGTCCATTCGCGTTCATGATGTCCCTCGGTGCACTGCAGTCTCTATCAGCGCGACGAGATCATATCAGTCTCCATTTAGACCCTCTGGTTTCGTCTCGTCACTCAGTCGCACTCACGACTGGTCAGTAGACGTTGATGGTGGGGGAGCGGTAGTGCAGTGGTTAGCGCCACTGCCCTACAAACCCGGCGACCCGACTTCGACCAATATCAGTAACGAGTACATTAACTGGTCCTGGACGGCTGTGTGTGAACATTAGCACTGGGGAGACAAAGACGGCCAGAGTGTGGTGCTCGTCTACCAACCCGCCTCAATGCGCCATGCCGGCCTTCATAGGCGCTACTCGCTAACGCCACTTGCCCTGCCAGCCCGTCAATGCTATCCGGGGTGGGGATCTTTGTCTTTGTGGTCATTAACGTTATGCGTGTGCTGTGTGCGTGGCAATCAACACCCAGACAGACAACTCCTTGCAACCGAGATGGTTCCATAGAGGGATTGTTCAGGTGAAATATTGTTTTGACTTACACACCTGCATAGGGGGGCTTACACACCTGTATAGGGGGCTTACACAGCTGTATAGGGGGTCTTACACACCTGTATAGGGGGCTTACACACCTGCATATGGAGGCTTACACACCTGTATAGGGGGCTTACATACCTGTATAGGGGGCTTACACACCTGTATAGGGGGGCTTACACACCTGTATAGGGGGGCTTACACACCTGTATAGGGGGCTTACACACCTGTATAGGGGGGCTTATACACCTGTATAGGGGGATTACACATCTGTATAGGGGGCTTACATACCTGTATAGGAGGTCTTATACACCTGTATAGGGGGCTTACGCACCTGTATAAGGGGGCTTACACACCAGTATAGGGGGGCTTACCCACCTGTATAAGGGTCTTACACACCTGTATAGGGGGGCTTACACACCTGTATAGGGGGCTTACACACCTGTATAGGAGGTCTTATACACCTGTATAGGGGGCTTACCCACCTGTATAGGGGGCTTACACACCTGTATAGGGGGGCTTACATACCTGTATAGGGGGGCTTACACACCTGTATAGGGGGCTTACACACCTGTATATGGGGCTTACGCACCTGTATAGGGGGGCTTACGCACCTGTATAGGGGGCTTACGCACCTATATAGGGGGGCTTACACACCTGTATAGGGGGCTTACACACCTGTATAGGGGGCTTACATACCTGTATAGGGGGCTTACACACCTGTATAGGGGGGCTTACACATCTGTATAGGGGGGCTTACACACCTGTATAGGCCTCGGCAGCCGCCACCTGCAAGCCGTGGTATTTCCCCGCGCTGAACACCTCCCCAGAGTCCAGGGTCACCGCGTCGGCGAATCCGTCCTTTCCGAGGGAGGGTGGCCGGTCGGTTGCGTAAAGAAAGAAAACGACATGAGGGTGTTTTTGAGTGGGACGTTTCCTCCGGGTTTGCAGTGGTAATCGGTGCCAACGGAGGTGGAAACTTCACTCCGCGTAGTGGCTTTGTGCAGTTGTCTGCAGCGATGTGGGGGGCTGGGGAATACGGGAAGATGACACTCGGGAGGAGACTCGGGAGGAAGGAATGCAAGGGAAGGGGAGACACACACGGGATGAGACACAAGGAGACACACAAGGGATGAGACACAAGATGAGACACACAGTGGATGAGACACAAGGAGACACACAGGGGAAGAGACACAAGGAGACACACAGGGGATGAGACACAAGATGAGACACAAGGAGACACACAGGAGATGAGACACACAGGCGATGAGGCACAAGATGAGACACAAGATGAGACACAAGGAGACACACAGGGGATGAGACACACAGGGGATGAGACACAAGATGAGACACACAGTGGATGAGACACAAGATGAAACACAAGGAGACACACAGGTGATGAGACACAAGGAGACACACAGGGGATGAGACACAAGATGAGACACAAGGAGACGCACAGGGGAAGAGACATAAGGAGACACACAGGGGATGAGACACAAGATGAGACACAAGAAGACACACAAGGGATGAGACACAAGATGAGACACAAGGAGACGCACAGGGGATGAGACACAAGATGAGACACAAGGAGACACACAGGGGATGAGACACAAGATGAGACACAAGGAGACACACAGTGGATGAGACACAAAGATGAGACACAAGGAGACACACAGGAGATGAGACACACAGGGGATGAGACATAAGGAGACACAAGGAGACACACAGGGAATGAGACACAAGATGAGACACACAGTGGATGAGACACAAGATGAGACACAAGATGAGACACACAGTGGATGAGACACAAGATGAGACACAAGGAGACACACAGGAGATGATGCACAAGGAGACACGGAGAGAGGGGACACAAGCAGACACACAGGGGATGAGGCACAAGATGAGACACACAAAGGATGAGACCCAAGGAGACACACAAGGGATGAGACACAAGATGAGACACACAGTGGATGAGACACAAGATGAGACACAAGGAGACACACAGGCGATGAGACACAAGGAGACGCACAGGGGATGAGACACAAGGAGACACGGAGAGAGGGGACACAAGGAGACACACAGGGGATGAGACACAAGGAGAGACACAAGGGATGAGACACAAGATGAGACACAAGGAGACACACAGGGGATGAGACACAAGGAGACACGGAGAGAGGGGACACAAGGAGACACACAGGGGATGAGACACAAGGAGACACACAAGGGATGAGACACAAGATGAGACACAAGGAGACACACAAGGGATGAGACACAAGGAGACACGGAGAGAGGGGACACAAGGAGACACACAGGGGATGAGACACAAGGAGACGCACAGGGGATGAGACACAAGGAGACACGGAGAGAGGGGACACGTGCCAGCCCTTGCCTCTATCTTCTGCATGCACTCCTTGCGGTCGGCTGCGCGCACGCACAGCAGCGGCGGCGATATGCCCGCCGTGCTCAGCGCAGTCTTCATGATGGTGCATTTGCTCTCCTCGCCCGTGGATATTGTGCACCAGCGGAGAGACGTGTGGACGCCTGCACACGCAGACGAGGATACAAACACAGACTAAGACACAGACACACGGGGACAAGATGGGGAGACGCAGGCGTGGGTGGTGGTGGTACCGACACCGATGTTGACCGCGAGTAAAAAACAAAATTTCTCAATGTTGAGTTCACTTTGATCGGTGTTAAATCTACAAACGTTCAGGAATGAAAAACAAAATAGAAGTCTCCTTCGCATATTTCTTACGCTTCGTCATCACCAACATCCGCACTGTCCCCAGGAAGTGCACAGTCTGGATTTAATGCGAGGAGTTTGCTGGTCCAGAGTTTTGCTCATCTTGAAACAATACGGGTTGTGTAATAAATACTGTGTGGAGAGATGGTGAGTGTGTGAGGTGAGTGTGTGTGAGGTGATGAGTGTGTGAGATGGGTGTGTGAGGTGAGTGTGTGAGGTGAGTGTGTGAGGTGAGTGTGTGTGAGGTGAGTGTGTGAGGTGAGTGTGTGTGAGGTGAGTGTGTGAGGTGAGTGTGTGTGAGGTGATGAGTGTGTGAGATGAGTGTGTGAGGTGAGTGTGTGAGGTGAGGGTGAGTGTGTGAGGTGAGTGTGTGTGAGGTGAGTGTGCGAGGTGAGTGTGTGTGAGGTGAGTGTGTGAGGTGAGTGTGTGTGAGGTGAGTGTGTGAGGTGAGTGTGTGAGGTGAGTGAGTGTGTGAGGTGTGTGTGAGGTGAGTGTTTGTGAGGTGAGTGAGTGTGTGAGGTTAGTGTGTGAGGGTGAGTGTGTGAGGTGAGTGTGTGTGAAGTGATGAGTGTGTGAGGTGAGTGTGTGAGGTGAGGGTGAGTGTGTGAGGTGAGTGTGTGTGAGGTGAGTGTGTGAGGTGAGTGTGTGTGAGGTGATGAGTGTGTGAGATGAGTGTGTGAGGTGAGGGTGAGTGTGTGAGGTGAGTGTGTGTGAGGTGAGTGTGTGTGAGGTGAGTGTGTGAGGTGAGTGTGTGTGAGGTGAGTGTGTGAGGTGAGTGTGTGTGAGATGAGTGTGTGTGAGGTGAGTGTGTGAGGTGTGTGTGAGGTGAGTGTGTGAGGTGAGTGTGTGAGGTGAGTGAGTGTGTGAGGTGAGTGTGTGTGAGGTGAGTGTTTGTGAGGTGAGTGAGTGTGTGAGGTGAGTGTGTGAGGGTGAGTGTGTGAGGTGAGTGTGTGTGAGGTGATGAGTGTGTGAGATGAGTGTGTGAGGTGAGTGTGTGAGGTGAGGGTGAGTGTGTGAGGTGAGTGTGTGTGAGGTGAGTGTGTGAGGTGAGTGTGTGTGAGGTGATGAGTGTGTGAGATGAGTGTGTGAGGTGAGGGTGAGTGTGTGAGGTGAGTGTGTGTGAGGTGAGTGTTTGTGAGGTGAGTGTGTGAGGTGAGTGTTTGTGAGGTGAGTGTTTGTGAGGTGAGTGTGTGAGGTGAGTGTGTGAGGTGAGTGTGTGTGAGGTGAATGTGTGTGAGGTGAGTGTTTGTGAGGTGAGTGTGTGAGGTGAGTGTGTGAGGTGAGTGTGTGCGAGGTGAGTGTGTGAGGTGAGTGTGTAAAGTGAGTGTGTGTGAGGTGAGTGTGTGTGAGGTGAGTGTGTGAGGTGAGTGTGTGTGAGGTGAGTGTGTGTGAGGTGAGTGTATGAGATGAGTGTGTGTGAGGTGAGTGTGTGAGGTGAGTGTGTGTGAGGTGAGTGTGTGTGAGGTGAGTGTGTGTGAGGTGAGTGTGTGTGAGGTGAGTGTGTGTGAGGTGAGTGTGTGTGAGGTGAGTGTGTGAGGTGAGTGTGTGTGAGATGAGTGTGTGAGGTGAGTGTGTGTGAGGTGAGTGTGTGAGGGTGAGTGTGTGAGGTGAGTGTGTGAGGTGAGTGTGTGTGAGGTGAGTGTGTGAGGTGAGTGTGTGAGGTGAGTGTGTGTGAGGTGAGTGTGTGAGGTGAGTGTGTGTGAGGTGAGTGTGTGAGATGAGTGTGTGTGAGGTGAGTGTGTGAGGTGAGTGTGTGAGGTGAGTGTGTGTGAGGTGAGTGTGTGAGGTGAGTTTGTGTGAGGTGAGTGTGTGAGGTGAGTGTGTGAGGTGAGTGTGTGAGGTGAGTGTGTGTGAGGTGTGTGAGGTGAGTGTGCGTGAGGTGAGTGTGTGAGGTGAGTGTGTGAGGTGAGTGTGTGAGGTGAGTGTGTGTGAGGTGAGTGTGTGAGGTGAGTGTGTGAGGTGAGTGTGTGTGAGGTGAGTGTGTGAGGTGAGTGTGTGAGGTGAGTGTGTGAGGTGAGTGTGTGTGAGGTGAGTGTGTGAGGTGAGTGTGTGAGGTGAGTGTTTGTGAGGTGAATGTGTGAGGTGAGTGTGTGTGAGGTGAATGTGTGTGAGGTGAGTGTGTGCGGTGAGTGTTTGTGAGGTGAGTGTTTGTGAGGTGAGTGTGTGAGATGAGTGTGTGAGGTGAGTGTTTGTGAGGTGAGTGTGTGCGGTGAGTGTTTGTGAGGTGAGTGTTTGTGAGGTGAGTGTGTGAGGTGAGTGTGTGAGGTGAGTGTGTGTGAGGTGAATGTGTGTGAGGTGAGTGTTTGTGAGGTGAGTGTGTGAGGTGAGTGTGTGAGGTGAGTGTTTGTGAGGTGAGTGTGTGTGAGGTGAGTGTGTGAGGTGAGTGTTTGTGAGGTGAGTGTGTGAGGTGAGTGTTTGTGAGGTGAGTGTTTGTGAGGTGAGTGTGTGCGGTGAGTGTTTGTGAGGTGAGTGTTTGTGAGGTGAGTGTGTGAGGTGAGTGTTTGTGAGGTGAGTGTGTGTGAGGTGAGTGTGTGAGGTGAGTGTGTGAGGTGAGTGTGTGTGTGAGAGTGAGTGTGTGAGGGTGCGGGGTGAGCGTGCGGGGTGAGTGAGTGAGGTGAGTGTGTGAGGTGAGTGTGTGTGAGGTGAGTGTGTGTGAGGTGAGTGAGTGAGGTGAGTGTTTGCGAGGTGAGTGAGTGTGTGAGGTGAGTGTGTGTGAGGGTGAGTGTGTGAGGTGAGTGTGTGAGGTGAGTGTTATGGGGTGGATGGTGAGTCGATGCCCAGCCGTGACCACAACTCACACGGCGACAATTCCCCCCCTTCATTGCGTGCGGTTGCCTCAGGGCAACTTGGCGCAAAGACAGCGAGACAGCGCGTGAGTGTGTGTGAGCGTGTGTGTGTGTGAGAGAGAGTGTGTGTGAGAGTGTGTGTGTGTGAGGGTGGGAGTGTGTGTGTGTGTGTGAGGGGGGGAGAGTGTGTGTGTGAGGGGGGGAGAGTGTGTGTGTGTGTGAGGGGGGGAGAGTGTGTGAGAGTGTGTGTGTGAGAGTGTGTGTGTGAGTGTGTGTGTGAGGGGGAGTGTGTGTGTGTGTGAGATAGTGTGTGAGAGTGTGTGAGGGGGGGAGAGTGTGTGAGAGTGTGTGTGTGTGACTGTGTGTGTGAGCGTGTGTGAGAGTGTGTGTGAGGGGGAGAGTGTGTGAGTATGTGTGAGGGTGTGTGTGTGAGGGGGGGGGGGAGTGTGTGTGAGAGTGTGTGAGAGTGTGTGTGTGAGTGGGAGAGTGTGTGAGAGTGTGTGTGAGTGTGTGTGTGAGTGTGTGTGTGTGAGTGTGTGTGAGAGTGTGTGTGAGGGTGTGTGTGTGAGGGGGGGAGAGTGTGTGTGAGAGTGTGTGTGAGAGTGTGTGTGTGAGTGTGTGTGTGAGAGTGTGTGAGAGTGTGTGTGTGAGGGGGGGAGTGAGTGAGAGTGTGTGTGTGTGAGAGTGTGTGTGTGTGAGAGTGTGTGTGTGTGAGGGGGGGAGTGTGTGAGAGAGTGTGTGTGTGTGAGAGTGTGTGAGAGAGTGTGTGTGAGGGGGGGAGAGTGTGTGTGTGAGAGAGTGTGTGTGAGTGTGTGTGTGAGAGTGTGTGAGAGTGTGTGTGTGAGGGGGGGAGTGCGTGAGAGTGTGTGTGTGAGTGAGTGTGTGTGTATGTGTGTGAGGCAAAACAACCCCCTACCTCCTCGCGGTGCCGGACGGGCAACTCTGTCGTGGACAGTGCTGTGGGGGGAGATCCAATTCCGATTGGCTCCTCCCCTCATGGCGTCTGTGACCACCACAGGGGCTAAACGGGGGCTCTGGACGGGTGCGAGGGGCTGGTAACCTCTCCACCTTCAATAAATTACCACTCAACCACGACTGAAATATGTAACTAATAAGCTTGTGCCGGAGGCCCCGGGGGGACAGGCATCTATGATGTCTCCTGGCCAAACCCCAATTGGCGGAGCCAGGAGATTGAATCTCTACCCTTGGGGCTCCTCCAGAAACAATGAAAAGCCACTTCGTGTGGCCACGTGGAATGTTCGAACGCTCACTGGGGAGGAGAGGCTGCCACTCCTCTGTCCGGAGCTGGACCGGTACCGCCTGGATCTCTGTGGCATTCAGGATGTCCGGTGGACCGGTTCTGGCTCCTGCCACCATGAGGGGTGGACAGTCCTCTACTTGGGGCAGCAGACTGCCAAACAACAGGGTGTGGCTCTTCTTTTTGACAAAAGAATGAAGGGGGCGTGGGAGCGTGGCGGTGAGGTGTGGGAAGCTGTAAGCCCCAGGCTACTTTGGGCTCGCCTTCCCATCAACCGGAGGCGAGGAGTGGTGGTCGTGGTTACTTATGCCCCCACCGAAGACGAAACTCCATGGAGGGATGCAGGCAAAGCCGATGAGTCAGATGCCTTCTATGACCTCCTATCACAGGTGCTGGCTAAAGTGGCCCCTCGGGATAGAGTTATCTTGTTGGGTGACTTCAATGCCCGAGTTGGTCATGATGCTGGCACCTGGTATGGAGTGATTGGAGGGCATGGGCCAGATCAGTTCAATAACAATGGTAGGAGGCTACTAGATTGTTGTGCAGCCCATGGGCTTGTAATTACCAACACGCTGTTCCGGCATCGGCGCATCCACACAACATCATGGATGCATGCCGGGTCCAAGCAAGAACATTTGCTGGACTACATAGTGACGGACCAGCGGATGCGAGCCCATGTCCTTGACACCAGGACCTATCGTGGAGCTGATCTGCCCACTGACCATTGACTAGTCATCTGTAGGATCCGCCT